CTGGAAGATGCAGAATCCTTCACATACCTGGGAAGCATCATCGATGAACAAGGAGGTTCAGATACAGACGTAAAGGCTAGGAGTAGCAAAGCAAGGACAGCATTCCTACAGTTGAAGAACATATGGAACTCAAAACAACTTACAACCAATATCAAAGTGAGAATCTTCAGTACGAATGTCAAGGCAGTTCTACTGTACGGAGCTGAAACTTGGAGAACTACGACAACCATCATCTAGAAAGTGCAAGTATTTATAAATAGCTGTCTACGCAAGATACTCAACATCCGTTGGCCGGATACCATCAGCAACAACCTTTTGTGGGAGAACAAACCAGCTTTCAGCTGAATAAGAAATTAGGAAAAGACGACGGAAATGGATAGAACATACACTAGTCAAATTGTCAAAGTGCATCACGAGACAAGCCCTAGAAGCAGATATGAAAAGGATGAATGACAACTGTAAGGAGCTGGAAAGGATTGCCCAAGACAAGGTTGGATGGAGAATGCTGGTGAGCGGCTTATGCTTCTTCACGAGGAGTAACAGGCGTAAGTAAGTTCGTACTTTTCGAGACCTTACTCTCGGAGGTGGAAATTCGTGGAGCAGGTGACTTTAATGCCCAGATAGGTAGTCTAAACCTAACAGAAAGGTATTTAGGTGGGTATTTTAGTATACCGGCACAACGAACAGATAATGGTGATCGTCTGCTGCAACTATGCTCAGACAATCGTTTATTTTTAACAAACACAAATTTTAAGCATAAGACATCGTCTAACATGGCGACCCCCTACACCAAACCAACGATGGACTCAAATAGACCATATTGCCATCAGTCATCGTTGGAGAGGGTCGGTAGAAGATTGTCGCTCATTCTGGAGTACCTGCTTGGACTCCGACCATGCCCTAATACGGGCATGCATCTGCTTGCGCCTCACTGGGCGCAAAAAAGCCACATTAAAAGATCCATTAGAACTGAGTTGAGTAACGAGAAAACCAAAAGTAAGTTCCAGGAACAACTGAGGTCACACTTAGGTAGTTCTGAAAACGAGGCTGACCCAGATATTGCTTGGAAAGATATACAAACAGCTGTGCAAACAGCAATGAAATATATTAGTGCCTTAAACCACAGAGTTACAAAGAACCAGTGGATTTCTTCAAAGTCTATCACAATGATGGATTCTCGCAAACTCGTCACATCGGGTTTCGAACATGATGAAGAGCGACAACAAATCAGATCTAGGTTAAGAAAAAGTCTAAGAAACGACCGTGAGCAGTGGTGGGCAACGAAAGCAAGAGATGGAAAAGGCGGCGGCTATAGGGAACACAAGACAGCTCTACAGACTAATAAAAGAAACTGGAACTGATAAGTCAAGTGTGAGATTATTTCGGAAAAGGACGATACTCTCATCTACTCCCAGTCCAGACGTTTAGAACGATGGGCGGAACACTTTAGGGAACAGTTCAGCTGGCCTTCAGCGACTCTACAACTACCCTCCATTCCCAGACAGTGTGAATGGAACATTGAAGTAGGTCCCCCAACTCTAGCAGAAGTTCAGAAGGCTATAGTCAATCTGAAACGAGGAAGGGCAGCTGGTCCAGATGGATTGGCTCCAGAAGTCTTTAAGGATGGTGGTCCAATTTTAGCGGTTAGGTTGACTAATATTTTAGCTAAGATCTGGGAGTTAGACGTTATTCCATCTGACTGGTCACAATCACTTATCGTCCCAATATATAAGAAAGGATCAAAATCATCTTGTGACAACCACAGAGGGATTAGTTTAACTAATATAGTATCTAAAATACTAGCCTCAATAATAATCAGACGCCTAACTAAGACTCGTGAACTGCAAACACGAGAAAACCAAGATGGCTTCAGACCTGGTCGTGGCTGCATCGACCACATATTCACCATTCGTCAGGTTCTTGAACACAGGCATACTTATCGACCTTCGACAATGGTGGTCTTTCTTGACTTAAAAGCAGCATTCGACTCGGTAGACCGCGAGATTCTGTGGCAGTGGCTGTCATTGAAAGGCGTACCTCATAAGTACATAAACCTTGTAAAGGCTCTTTACTCGAACACTACTAGTCGAGTCAGAGCTTATGGCGAACTGTCATCTACTTTTGCAACCTCAAGTGGTGTCCGTCAAGGCTATCCACTTTCTCCATTTCTGTTTAACTTCATCATAGACCTACTAATGGAAATAACATTCTCGTCGACTGAATTCTCAGGTATTGATCTCCCACCAGGAGGTCCACTTATCGACTTATAAGACGCAGATGATATAGTCCTGTTCGGTGGAGACGCTGATAAAATGCAGTCTTTTGGTAGCACGAAGCAATAATGCCAGAATGTTTGTAATGCGCTTCTCTCCCTCTAAATGCAAGTTGTTGCTTCAGGACTGGCCTTCGTCAACACCTGAACTACGGATAGGGAGTGAAGTAGTCGAACGCGTTGACAACTTCACTTATCTTGGAAGTTTGATCAGCCCTAATGGGTTGGTATCGAACGAAATCTCAGCACGGATTCGAAAAGCTCGTTTGGCTTTTGCCAACTTACGTCACTTATGGAGAAGGCGAGATATCCGTCTATCAATAAAAGGACGAGTATACTGCGCGGCAGTCCGTTCTATCTTACTTTACGGCAGCGAAACATGGCCTTTAAGAGTAGAAGACACTCGTAAGCTATTAGTATTTGACCACAAATGCCTTAGAAATATTGCTGGCGTCTGCCGGGATCACCGGGTAAGTAATAGTAAGATTAGACGCAGGAAATTAGAGAATGATGGTAAGTCAATTGATGAGGTTGTTAATCTTCATCGACTGAGATGGTTGGGCCACGTGTTACGTATGCCTGAACACCGATTACCAGGTCGTGCAATGTTAACGGGTGTTAGAGATGGTTGGAAGAGAATTAGGGGCGGCCAAACCAAAACGTGGCATCAGTGCTTGAAGACACTAACCTCTAGTCTGAGCCATGTTGGTAGATTCAGACTACTTGGTTGGGGTCCGCGTGACTTTCGTAACCAGTGGTTGGAGACTTTTGGTGACATGGCTTAGAATCGGTCACAATGGCGTCGGTCTATACACTCCCTGTCTCCCCTTAAACTAAGAGATTAAAATCGCTTCATATCGTTCTTTCTACGAACTAATTCTCTATTCCGGTACTGTTTTCTTATATGCAATCTTTCTCCCATATATTACCACCTTTACCTAACCACTGTTATGAATCCGGTGTTCATCTTGATGTGCTAATGAGGTATGGCAACCTGGACCGATGCATATATGTGCCTGGTCCTACGTTGTAGCTGACTGACTGACTGACTAGAAATTCGTGGGATAAGGCGGTGTGCATTTTTAGGGTCGACACCACCCCTCCTTGTGGAAAGGCAACATCATTGTTATGCTGGTTGTCTGAGGGAACACTTTGCTACCACCGCACCTCTGCACAGCCAGCAATATGACTTTGCTGCTTCCAGTTTTACCGCTCTTCAACCGACTTGTATGGTATAGTCAGACCCTGAGGTACGATTGTTCCAGCTAGTATAGCTCGATTGGTCGATAAGCAAGCCCGACCGCCACGTCAGAGTAGCATCAATGATATGGATTATAATAAATCTGACCAGAATAAATTAAAAATATTGGTTTTCTATCCTCGCTTTTGCTAGCAAATTAATGTATTCACTAAACAGATGCTTTGAGGCCTGAAAAACGCGACACTGCACTTCATTTCACAGTATGGCATATTAATCAGCGAGGCATAAATAATATTTTCCGGGCAAGATTGACTGTGGTTATCAAGTTTCATCTATTTAAGGTACGTATGCAGGTGAAACCATATGAGATGTTCAGAAGGAAGTTGATAACTGGTGTTCTTTTACATTTTACCTTATTTTCACTAATCAAAACCCTTAAACTGACTTATGACTGGTACTACCAATGACAGTATGACTGTTGTTGGGATAGTATTGTTAACAGACTCTTTTCAGGTATACCATGTAGCAAATTGTGGTGAAACCCACAACACATGTGCTGCCAAGCTATACTTAATTGGTGACTCAATTTGGTGAGTGCTATCAATTTCATGGAGTGATAAAATGGACGTACTGATCTTCGGCGAGATGTCAGTGAGTACCATGAAAATTTCTTCACCTTAAACAGCAACTGCCTAACAAAAGCAGTTTGTCGCTTGTAATTAATGGCGAAATTAGTCAGCCCACAACCGATTGTGAAAAACTAGGGTTTCATAAACATTTTCTTATATAGATAACAAAATGAAACACGAACGACTGCCTTCACATTTAAAATTACGAGTATTTTTATAAAATCCTAGGAACGATCTTTTACCAATCTTCATTGATGATAGAGTTCTTGTTTTGGGTAGTATTAAATATGCACGTATATATATATATAATATTTAACGACACTATTTTCAAGTAGGTAGCCGATAACAAATTGTGAAGTGGGTGAACTATCACTCTGCTGTTGCGATCGTGGTTCTTGCTAAACTCAAAGAGGAAAGTAGTGGAAGAAAGTTGTCTAATTACCTTATTTATTGATATATGAAGACATACATCATAGCAAAATTAAAGATGACGATATACGCTCTCGGTGTATTTAATTACAATAGATTGTTGCACGGTGCTTTGCAATATTATTTAAAAAACAGTAAATACGAAGACGATCCCGATACAAGAAGATGAGCATAATCCTAAAGCAAACAGTATAATATCTAACTCGCATCAGTAAATGACATATTAAACCACATTCCCAGTTGTAAAAGCGAATTTTATCCACCTGATAGCGTTAACTTAAGACCGTTGCACATCAAAGTTGATTATAACCAGTTGTTAGAACTGGCTAGCCAGATGACTGGGCAGATCATACCATGAAACGAAGTCTGAAATCCGTAAATCCCAAGCATAGTCATGAAAAAGAGATAATTCTGTGTTTGCATGGTCAAAATGTTGAAAATATTACAAAAACTAAACAGCTCCACTTACGTGGGAATCCAAACAGAGCCAACAACCAATATGACCGCGCCACGTAATGTTAAAATCCCGGTCTTCGTAAAAGGCCACATTGAGTAACTGAAACAATTGCGACTCGTACCAGACGAGTAGAACAAAAATAGTGAAACAATCCAGTGTAACTCCATTTCAGGTCGAACAACCGGTCTGTACGCATAGTTAAAGTATATTCTCACTCGTTTTCAAGCTTTGAGACACTTAGAAAAGAGCAGAAACTGGATGGCATGAATTCAAATTAACTGAACGATGATACTGTCAAGTTCAAAGACCAAAATGTGTGCGTGAACAGGCTGATTTATTCACGCTCACTTCTCAAGGTCTGTTGTTATGAGTCGACATAGGTAGCTTAGTTGATCGGTTACATTAGTCCTCATGTATCTAACGGTTATTTAGAGGTTAGTGTATTCGAGTAAAAATGAATGCCTTTAATTCAAAGAAATGAGGTTTTTATATTCAAAAGCTATCAAATTACGAAGCATTCAACCAATGATCGTATTGAGTAAGATTTTTTATAGGAAGGAGTCGGGGGAAGATAGCAAACTATTTCTCTACATGAATAAATAACTAAGGAAATAAGAGAATGTACAAAAATGTCAGCCGATAAGAAATGACAAGTGATAAACTGGACAAGCAAAGTTATAACAATGATTGATAAAGTATAAGACAGTGAAGGGAGTCTGATAGTTTCAAACAACGTGACTTCTCTTTGTTTATTGTAGTCACTTTTTATCCCGAACCGAAGACTATAAACCATGGATTCGTACATGACTGCTGAGCCTCTTCTCATAAAAGACAACTGGAAGTACCGCAACCTCACCAACTGCGAGGGAGTTAGGGATGGGCTGACTCATGATGAAATGCGTTATTATACTCAAGTGTTCACTATTTAGTGTACTATAAGTCAGGGGTCACCTTGAGGCTAAGATTCCAAGTTAGCGCTTGTCTAAATAAACAGTTAGGTGATTTTCACAACTTACATCCTATTCACCTCCAGCATCTTTCCCTGATGTCGTCATCGGCTGGATGATGATTTGTTCTCTCCCACTGTAAGCTGTTGTTGATAGTATCCGGTAAGTAAACCAACAGTAACTTGCGTAGGAAATTGTTTATAAATACTTGTACATATTTGATGATGGTTGCGGTAGTTCTCTAAGTTTCAGCTTCGTACAGGAGAACTGTCTTGATATTCGTGTTGACGATTCTAACCTTGTTGTTGTCTGTCAGTTGTTTTGAGCTCTATATGTTCTCCAATTGTAGAACTGTTACCCTTACTTCGCCTATCTTTACCTTCTCACCTGCATAAAATATTCCCTAGATATTTTAAAGTTTTGACCTCTTCCAGAGCTTTTTTGCCAATTGTCATTGAGTTGGTATTCTCCATGTTGCATTCGAGAATCTTGTTTTTTCCCTCGTGTATACTGAAGCTAACTGCTCCATATGTTGCTACTATATTGAATGGCTTCACCTGTATTTGTTGATGTGTATAGAATAGAGGAGCTAGGTCATCTGTAAAGTCCAATTCATCTAGTTGCATCCAAGCTGTCCATCGTACTCTGTGCTTCTAAATGTCAACAATGAGAATATACAAACCCTTACATATCCTAAGATCATATTTCATAGTTGGTGGCCTAATCTACAATGTTACAAATTGTTGGTTATCAAGTTTAGCAAACATATTCTCTTTGGTTGTTTTACAAAGTAAATAACGTGTCATATGAACAGGCTTTGAGTTGTTCGAAGTGTCAAGGGATAGTTTTTATTTTTGAGGAGATGAGAGGACTCGAATCTCGACTGTCGTACAGAAGGTTGAAACCCTGCCTCAACTGCTATTCCGTTAATCAAGGGTCAAGTGACATCCACTAACCACCACATCAATGTATATACGACTGTAATTTTTTACGTAAACGTATCACTTTTATTCCGTCACCACAATTTACTTACTGTCAAAATACTGCAAAATATTTCTTCAGTACTGGTGTGCGTCGATCCCTAACCCAGTGATATGGAGTAAATTAGTTGAGTGTATTGACTGTTTCACAATGATCGGAAGTCTCGGTCCTGGTGGGTTGGTGATTGATGAAGTCTCGACACGGGGTCAGAAATCCGGGTTAGTGTTTGCTAACTTGTGTCACTGATGACGTGGCCAGCAGAGGTCAAGCCAATAAATTGCTTCACAATACAGGCCCTAATATGTAATCTTGAGGGCAGGACGAATGAGACAGTTTAAAGCACAAATGTTACGAATCAGGGTTCAACATCCATACCACGATTAGTACTTGATAACGGCTATAAAGAATAGTCCACGAAAGAGTTGATTAGAGACTCCTGCATGGTGTTGCTATAAAGGTTAATAGCGGGCTTTATTTTGTTACTCGACGTGTAGCTAGTAGTATGAATTTCCTAATCAGATAAGTTAGCATTCTACAGTCGTTGCAGCCTGTTGAGTATTCGTCAAGTAGTCACTGAAAGAAATAACGAAGTCATTATTTTTGACGAGATTGATAAGAAAGACACTACTAGATTCTGTGGAGTTAAACCTACTTTTACTCGTGATAGAAACATATGTAACAGAAACTGCATTCTCACATCGCAATATATTTGGAAACTTACTATAGGAGTCGAATCAGCCGCAATACATCTTCTACCAAATAGAGAAGAACGGCGAGATTTTTCAGACACCTTCATCAGCCGAAAATACTCTCTGAAACTATTATGCTTATTTGATATGCGCAATTCATGCATTTGACCTCTTTTACATGTATATCTTATCGTTCTCAGACATGACATGAATATGAATATTAACATCGTACATAAGATCATACCAGAAAATTCATACTCTTCCTTTGTGAAGCATGATGCATTCTACGATAACTCCTTTTTTCGTTATTTTTGTCTGCTTCTTCACAACATTAAAATTCTCCCGCTGTAACCTTTTGCCGATTAGTAAGTAATTGTTTACATATATAATGACTGTCACGCTACGTTTTTCGGACCATTATTGTTAACTTCGAACGCGTACTCATACATTTTTATACATAGATCTTATCACTGAGTAAGGACTCTATTCTTACGAGCTTACTAGTATTGCAGGTACTGCATTAGTCAACAAATTCGTTAACACGATACTGTGTAATAAAACGATGAGTTTATTCAACGCCCATCAAATATTTATATTTTATGTTGACGCACACAAGGTGGCAGCAACATATATTGTAAATATATCGTAATGTTTAAAAATGCTCTTCTGTTAGCCATGCCAAGTTACCACTTTTCTTAAACCGTTATACTGTTTTCTGACGTCTTTATTAACGTAGTGCTAACATGATCAACTGAAAGCAACAAAATGCTAATCTATCTGATTCGACTAATTCTAAATTTAATTTTTGAGATGACCTTATCGCAAAATAGATTAAACGAATGCAAAGCATCAATTATCGCACAGATTGACTGAATAAATCTTCATAGTTCTTGTTAGAACTGTGTTGGGTTACATGCTGTCTCTCCCTATATAATATCTACAGTTGTGTTTAATACCATTGTAACGAATGAGAATACAATTGAAGACAACTAAATGTACTTTAATACAAAATTACAAAATCGCCCGGTTAAATATGAGAACCTGAAAATAAGTACTCCATTTGCTAAGTTCATTAATTTGTCCCTCATATTCTGTATGGTTCTTCTCATTCACAATTCTTTACTTATTCCATTTCTGTTTTCATCAGGTCAACCTTTATAACCTCCTGCTGTCAGGTTTTCCACTCTCTGTTAGTGCTGCATACTACTTATGCCTGCCGACGTAAGTAGCCTTCACCAATCTGTCACTCAAATCACAAACCATTGCAACGTTTAGCACTTAATGGGTTACCGTACGAATTGGAGATAGTTTAAGTACTGTGATTCAGTCTCGTAGAGAAAAATTCATCCGAATTTCAGTAAGCTCATAAAATGCAGTTAGGTTTGATAATGAAAACAACAGACAACGATTAACACAGATCTGAAACGAAGACAATCTGTTAATATGAGTCAAACGTTGTTAGCATGAAGTATCCAGTACATACACCGATGATATTGACGGGACTACAACAACAGTCCCCTAACCGTCGCATGATCATCATTATCGCAACCCTTCTTATACATACTCACTTACTCATCCATAAAATTCTCACCTTCTCAGTCGATCAATAGGCAAATTACAGGGTCCAAACCAATGGTCATAACAACGTTCTATATCCCAGATCTTATGGCAGTCGTTCTGGTGAGTACAAGAAATCATCCATTTGCATTGAAAGGTACAACGCCAAACCCACATGGGTTATTCTAGCTCCCATACAAGCCAATTTGTTCATTTTCATCTCACATTTTGGCTTGGTTAGTCAATCGCCTCATAACCTTCGCTGTTTTTAAATGAGCGTGTAGAATTATGGTCTACTATGATATTAGTGCTGCTCTAATAATAAACTTAATCCTAGAATCGTGCATTTGTCATGACGTAACTGCCTAATCTAGATAGATCAATAATCTCATCAATCTTATCAATCATACTACGTGATCGTTAAGTCATAACAGTGCTTTTATGACGATATTCTGAAACCATCATTTTTAACTAGTTATTGTTGATTGAGGAGTAGCCATTTGAAAATGGGTATTGTTGCTTTATGTGCTTCTGAAATAGCAGAAGTTTGTAGCATTAAATAATCCGAGTTGTCTAATTATGCTATGATTTTCAATTCAAAGACATTCATCTAGTGTTAATTTTAGTAGTAGGTTCCGGAGTTTTGAATTTAAATGTTTGTTTATCCAACAACTACTGAGAATCTCGTTATTATACTAGCGCAGTTGAGAGCGTCTAAATTTGTAACTTTATTATCTAAATTATGTACGTCTTTTTAGATTATTAATATGGCAAACCAATTGATAAACCTAAATACCTTTAGCGATAACGACTATGATGGGTTTATTGATAAATGTTAAGGGCGATTCACATGATTTTTAAATTTAAAAGACATAGAGATATAGTGCAACGCATGTACGGGCCAGGTTAAAATGCAGATTTTTGAGGTATATGACAATTTGAAAATAATAAACATGACCAGAAAAATAATTTTATGGTTAAGACAACTTTTGTAACTTTAAGTAGGAAAATGTTGCGTTATAAAATTTCCATAAGAAGTTCCTGCATTTAGCCTAAGGATATTTACAAATATGTGTCAAAATCAACTAGAATTAAAGAATATCTTTAAACAACACACTTTTTTCTTAATAGTACGTTGTAGTATAAAAGTACTGAATATTTTTACTAAGTCTTGGGAGTGACTTGTATGAAATATATACAACCAGTCTGATGGAGAAATTCTATATAAATTAAGAAGTACTTAAATCACAGTGAACGAACCAAGGAAGGGAAAAAAGGAAAAACTCGCCAAGGTTATTTTTGCTTCTAAGTAATGAGAATTTGAATTATTCAGTAGTTCGAATCCGGTTAAAATATGAGGCACTGTTGATTAAATTCTTGGACTAACACAGTATTGTAGACTGAATTTGTTTACATCTAAAATTATTTGAAACCGGATACGTTCCATTCCCTAACGAACAGTTTAAATGAGATGTAAGATTGCAGGAAATTTATAGTTCAAACTCATCGCGAATTTCTAGCATTCGTATCCAAAGTTTGGCCATGGAATCCAGCAATTGGAAATTAGGCAAGCAGTGGTCATAAAAAAAGATATTACAGGATAGTCCATAGTTTAAAACAGATTGAAATGTTAAGTGAAGAAAGAATATGAAGAATTAGGTCCAGATAACAATTCAGTCCTTGCTTAGGTTGCTAGTCAATATATATTTGTCATTTACAGGTCATATTTGTTAGAGCTTGACGCTTAAACAAGTTTATTTCGCTGAAGCATGTAAGTGCTATTAAAGCTTGTTATTGAACCATCAAAATTAATAAATAGTATAGATGACCAGGTTTTATTATCGATTGAGCTAGTAAGTTATGAGTATTGATCAACATAACATTACGAAAATACACGTGAGCATTAACCAGAGGACAATTAGAATAATGGGTGTACATAAATAATAATCGATCGAGAAAGTTAAAGTGAAAATGAGGAATAATAATAGGTTGTGTTTCTTTAGTCAGGATTACCAATGTAGAATTTTGGTTTACTATGATATTAGTACTGCTCTGATAATAGACTTAATCCTAAAATCGTACATTTGTCATGACGTAACTGCATAATCTTTAATATCTCGCGTGAAAGTCACATCATTATCTCGATCAACATATCGCATCGTACCAATCACCAACATATGATGAAGAACAAACTTAGGCTAGAGATAAAACAATATATTTAATATGAATAAGAAATTATGGTACAACAATTAAGAGTGACCATGACTGCAAGGCTGAGCCATGCCGTCCGATCGGTTCGGATTCATTTCATTCATTCTTCCACCTTCTCCATCGTTGAGTTTTTCTCCGCGTTAAATATTGAACATCTGTTTTCCCAGTTATCTCGTGTTCAGCTTTAAATATTGTGTACTTAGAGCTCAACGCCACAGGTTTGCAATATTCAACGTTCTTGTAATGAGGACTGTAAAATAGATGATTTATCTATGCATTCTTCGTGATGTTACGGTACGTTTTCATGTATTTTCTGGCTTATTATGACCATAGTTTCGCCAATCAGATAGACTTTTCCTAGTGATTTTGAAAATTGTTTTTGAAATTGGATAGTTTGAGCTTGATGAATGCGTTTGTCTCAAGACAGTTAGGCTTCAGAAACAATAGCTATCATATAACCAAACAAATGCACTTAACGAGTTAGATACATTATTGATCGATCAGTGATGTTTTCCGATATAATGCATGTACAACTATGTACTTTGCGTCAGAAATAATCTTTGTACCCAAAGTAAACTGCGAAATGTATTTCAGTAATGAACACTCATGAGGAGAATCCTTGTTAGCCAACGAACTTAAGGATTTCTTCAAGAGTGTATGATTGTTAGACATGGTGAGTTATAGACCTTTTTCAGCTTGGTAAGCGTGCCCCTTAGTCGAAACTGCCATATTTTCGTTCAGTATCTTGCAATCTTATAGGGAATAATGCTAAAGTTTGTCATACTTCTCTTACCCAATCCTGTATTACTCACCGAACTCTTGTATCAGATGCACCGGATGTCGATGAGTGCATACATGTGGCGACCCGAAACTAGAGTCAAACGAAAAAGAGTCGATTCGTGTAGGGAATTGAGTTATTCAGTCCGACTATTTTGTGTTCGATCTTTGTTGATCTTTTAATGATCTCGTAAGAGAGACATAGCTGGCTGTGAATAACAGTATTATCTTGCCGATTCGCTGATTGTTTAGCTGCTCGAAATTGGTGAATTGTGGGTATTACATGGTAATTATTGCCTTATTTTTCGGAGAGAAAATGTCTTGAGCTCTCACGGTATGCCCAAGGAATTCTAGAGTTTGTTCAAATTTTTCATTTATAAATGTTTTAGTTAATAAAATAATGTTAAAGTCATTGAAGAACAAAGACCTGATGATGAAAATAAGGTTCTCAGTCTGGATTAGCTATAGGAATATCTTTACATTATGCATGCTCAAAAGTGAGACATCCAAAGTCGTTATAAATTGTACTTTGAAAAGAGTTCATGGTGTTTAAAAATCCAAAGGATACGCAACGATCGATAAGGTTCATAAGAAGTGATAATATCCATTCAATTAACACACTTGTTAGTAATCAGAATTAGGTTGTAAATTTTGAAGATGATCATACCTATAAAATTAACTGTGTATTGATGAATGATGGTTAGAAGATAGTGTCCTTTATTGCTTTTAATGATAAAATGTCACTGTTCGGAGTTAGGATAGTTCGTTGTTCGGATTATTCCCATGTTCTCTATGTTGTCGAGTTCTGTCTTTGCCAGTTTTTGGCTCTCAGGAACCAGTCAGCGTGCTTTCAAGAGTGCAGGTGGTCTCGTGGTCGTGGTATTATTGGTAACACAGCTGGTGACACAGGATTATTCCAACTTGTGATCTGTAGAGGTTTGAAGTCACCAGATAACTGTGTGTCTGACTCAATTTGGGGGTTACTTGGATCCAAAAAATAATGCTCTGTACACAGAAAGTTTGATGATTTCATCTACTAAGTTTCGCTTGCCTTGGTGGATAAGTAATCTACGAATCTTCACCAGTTCTATGTCAACGATGGCTAATGAAACATCTTAGGTGAGGTAATTCAAAATTATTATGTCTAGTTAAACCCATTTTCAAGTGATCGAACATTTTGCCGTATACCGTGAAAGGTTTACAGCTTAACCCTCGCAGGATATTGTTGACAGTTGTTTAGATGTGTCGGAAGAATGATAATGTCAGTGTTAGTGACTTAACGAACCTCCGGCACACCCATAGAGCAGGCAGACATGTCCATCGGTTATGGTCATCGTTAAAGCGTGTGTGTTGCATTGTTTCCTGAAAAACGAAAAAACAACATCAGAATTCAGGTTAAGAAAAGTGCAAAATTTTCCGCAGTTTCTAGATTTTTAACCGTTGCTAACGTTAACGAGGTATTTCTTTTTCTCGTGACTGAGTTATCTTGCTCAAAATATTTTTAACGGGGTTTCTGCCTGTCCAAAAACATTCTGAAAGTTAAGAGGGAGCAAGACGTATCTCAGAGATCTGAAATTTCTCTCAGAGCCGTATGAAGCTTACCGTTGATGCAACATATATGATAGTAGAGAGTTCTGATGACAACGTACAAAAAAACAGAGATTGGTACATATGAACGAAAAACACAAAAAATGTATATGAAGATAGCGATATTAGATAAATAATGAAAATTAAACTGAACAATCTATACGACCTTAATGACTCATCCATTCAGCAGCTAGAAGAAGTTGCTATAAGCGTTATATAGCGCTACTACATGTCTCAAAATTACGCAACATTTTAATTTTCTCTCAAGGCCGTCTGTACTTCACCGAAGAACAATAAACTTGTGCTAGGTAAGTCTCAGACCTATCAAAAGCAAGTATCAAGTGACTGAATAAATACGGACAGTAAGTTTCACTTGAATTTGAAATGCGTTGCTCGAAAATAACTATGATATCAAAACCCTATAGGATTTTTATGTATCCAACTTAAAAAGAATAAGGAAATGCGGTCAGAGTAAATAAAGGGTAAAACGCACCGAAAAGTCTACTCTTTCATCCACCATGGGGAAATACGCCTGTCACTCCTGCATTCTCCAACTCAATCTATTCTGGGCCTTCTTTTTGAGTTCTGTCCAATTTTCGTTCATCCTTTTCATGTCTACCTCCATTTCACGGCGTAATGTGTTCATTGATCTTCCTTTTCTCTCTCAGCCTTTAGAATTCTAAGTGGGGGCATGCCTTGTGATGCAGTTAGGTTCTTTCCCCAATGTGTGTCCTATCCCCTTCCCACGCTTCTTCCAGATTTCTTCTTCCTCTGGGATCTGATTTATTCTCCTCAACTGTAGGTTGTCGCTGATAGTGTCTGGCCAACGGATCCGAAGTATTTTGCATAAACAGCTGTCAATAAACACTTGTATCTTGATGATGGTTTTCGTAGTTCTCTAAGTTCTCGCCCCATACAGTATAACTGTCTTGACATTTGTATTAAAAATTCTGACTTTGATGTTGGTTGACAATTGTTTTGAGTTCTAGTCAACGTGGCACAAGTCCATGAAGTCTTTGACAAGTGGACTGAGCCATGTTGGTAGGTGTAGACTACCTGTTTGAGGACCGCGAGATGATAGCAACCGATGGTTAGAGACCTTGAATGACATGGCTCAAAATCGTTTGCAATAGCGCAGGTGCATCCAATCTTTGTGTTCTCCCTAGTTTTGTGATAAAGCTTTCTCTTGACATGAATTTACTTTCTCACTTACATGTGCTATGTCGAGAATAATTAAATGTTTGACTTTACATGGACTTAACATTTAGGACACATTCTTAATAGATTACGAATTACCTGTTATTCCTTTTGTAGATCTCAAATGACAGTGGAACTTTGTACTTGTGAGTGACGAGCGTCTGTCTGTCATTAATCTCCTTGTAAACTATGAAGTTATTTCCTATCAATGTCTTTGACTACGTACCGTTTTTAACCAAGTTGACTGGTGTCCGAACGTTTGTTTCATAATCGAAACAAAGGTAAGCATAGAAGAAAATTGGGGCTAGGTGGAAAGTAGACTAAAAGGCGACAAAACGAGTAAATTTCGCACTATTTCCCCATGATGGGCGATAGTATCGACTTTTCGGTGCGTTTTTCCCTTTATTTTCTTTCGAACTGTTCCCCTTATTTTCCGTTTTACGGTCGCTTGTTTAAACCACGCAGAGTATTAGGATCTGTATTTTTTTGAGTTTAGACAGTTAACCCGTAATTATAATATTTTAATAACTTTCGGATGTTTTGCACGTAATTTTACTCCCCTGATAGACATTTCCCTTCATCAAACAATTTCGGGTAGACAGGTTTTACCAATGCATGGACAACATGTGAGTTTGTTTCCCGTGTTGATTAAAACTTTTGTTTAAGAATTCAAGATGAATTGCAATTATTATATGAAATGTTTCCCGGTGAATTCAAAGTTGACTTTGAGTAGGTTACTTTGTCTAACTATACTTTGATGGTATTATTTAGTTCAAATCAATATACAGTCACTTTTGTAGTAACTCCTGGAGTAGGATTTAATAATCCTGCAAACAAGTTTATAAAATTTAACCTGAACTTGAATGTTACTTTGAAGGTTTGTTTATAATTACAATTTTTCTATATTTTGATTCGTTAATTGAATATTATTATTTATAGTATCCGATAGAGTCACCTACAGTCTCTGTAGAATGTGTTCATGGTCTGAAAGAAAAGGATATTGCAAAATTATTATCCCTTCTAAGAGATTTAACAATGGAACGAAATGGCGATCCAGTTATTTTTGATCTTGTGGATGTACGTAAGTTTATTATTGATTGGGAATAGTATGTTATGATACATCCATTAAGTTTAGTGTAAATAAAGTTGATTGTCAAAATTATAAAATAGATTTATGTGCCATATGCTATTGTGTAAAGCTAACATATTCACTTGCGCAACTTCAGACCGTTGAGTCCTCTAAACGATCTTAAATATATACAACTGATGGATAACAAGCTTGCCAAAACGTAAGTCAGGTGCTTCATACTACTTTTACTAAAAAAGCTGAAATCAATACAAAAGGTAACAGATCACATCCTCTCGCTTAGTGGCCTTATTTAAAACTTAGTTACCACCATATTAGACGTGGAAACAGCACCATATAGTAAATGTTGAAAGATCATTTAGAATATTCAAAGTTTTTTAAAGTAACTGTATCTGTGTACCGTGAACAATTTATTGTTTCATTTTATTATGTTGCATAAATATACTCCTAATTCTTCTACATCTAGTTTTGTCGTGAATTTATTTCATCCAACATCCCAACTGTTGAGTGTGCAATATGCTTGAAGTACTTCCAAAATGAAAGTGATGTCTATTGTACAACGAATTTTCATTATTTTCATACATACTGTATTGGTGAGTATATGAATCGTAGACGAGTAGAATATGAAGAGGAAATAAGCGAATTAAAAACCAAGGGCCCATACACTGAATTTCCACCACTTGAAGTAAGTATGCACTCTTTATTGTGAAATGATATTTTGTTTATGAGTAATTATCTAAACGATCTTGAGTCACTGACTGGTCGAGAGTTGAATGCTACCACCGAATACCAATACTGAAACAGCCTTTCTGAAACCACGTATACCATTCAAGCTGGTTTCTTTCAACATTTACACAATAATGCAGATCGGACAGCATATATGGTTGGCTATGTCTTTAGAAAGTCTTAATATCGACGTCTGTTGTCTATCCGAGACCCGTATTCAAAACTCTAGCTAAGTGCTACAAATTTGCTCTCCATCTGTCGCTTTGAAAAACTTGTTTTATGTGAGCTTATTCGGGGACCCTGTAGCATCTTCGTTTAGTTTTGTTGGTGTCGCACTAAGAGCTAGAGCTGAGACAACACTAGCCGATTGGATCCCCATTATCGGTCGGTTATGTGCTGTTAGATTAAAAAGTTCCATCAAAGTAAGAGGAAATCGGCGTGAGAAACGATGTCTTTTCGTCATCGCATACACTTCGACAGATTGCAGCCCGAATGCGATTAAGTATGAGCTTTACCATCATTTAACTGTTATATAGAAAGTGTGTTCGACAGATATTGTAGTAATAGCCGGAGACTTGAATGCCCAGGTCGGGTGTCTAGGCACAGAAGAGGGTCGTTTAGGTGGCCGATGTGGAATCGTTAGTCGCAGGACAGATAACGAGGACCGTCTACTGCGACTGTGCACAGACCACAACCTGTTTCTGGCTAGCACTAACTACCGGCACAATAATCGCCAATGTGCTACTTGGCGTCCTCCCTCGGCATCTCAAGCCTGGACTCAGATTGATCACATCACGATCAGCTACAGCTGACGTGGTTGTGTACAAGACTGCTGCTCCTTTTAAAGTACCTATCTGGACTCTGATCATGTCGATGTTTGCGTTAATCTTACCTTACTTTTCAGTGACCAAGAAATTCATCGCCCTAAACCGATTGATGTCAGTAAATTGGTTGCAGCTTCTGTTGCAACTAAATATAAAACCGAGCTAGGTTCAAGGCTAGCTAACATTCCACCGAAAAGTATAGGTGGGCATTGGTTCCAGTTGCAAGAGGCCATGGAAACGGCGAGTAAAGTCTCTTGTGGCTTCGCGAAACGTTTCGCTTATAAGCAGTGTTTCTTCAGGTTCCTTATAACTCATCGGGACCCATCGGTCTACCCTGGGTGACCGTGAGTTTGACCACAAACGAAGGATGCTGCGTAATGAAATTGGACAAAGCTTATGTAAGGATCGAGAAGCCTGGTGGTCGGAGCGTGCCTATGAGTTGGAAGCAGCAACTGCATCTGGTAACTGCCGGAAGTCCTTTCAACTTATCCGAAGCACTGGCAACAAAAAATCTGGTGTGAGCTAAACAATCTGTGAAGATGACGGGATGCCAATCAGCAACATCCATCGACGTCTTGGACTATGGGCAGAATTCTTCGAAGGACAGTTCGAGTGATCTGTTACTCCGCCAACATCGATCAGACTGTCCTGCACTCCATGGCCTGTGACGACTGATCCACCAAATGAGGCGAAAGTCCGCGAGGAACTACAACTCTTATTTATTATCATTTATTTTAACACACAAATCTCATTCAATATGTGTGAGGGCTGTGATACTGCCCGGGTGTCCAAACTGAAGCAGGTGGTTTTCTTGGGGAGCCACTCCCCGAGCCTTCGACCTGAAGGTCTGATCCACAAGGCAGTGGAGCATCGTAAGGAGATGCAGTCCTACGCCATTTGTTCATTCAGGATACTGGAGCCCATGTGCACCATTGGTTTGGAATCCGGTTAAAGCACCGGACACTCGCTTTTCGTTCTCTCATTTTCGTAAACAACACCCCCGGCCAAATGTCGTCTGCAATTGTCTATTGAAAAAGGGTGTGTGTGGAAAGTTTATCAACACCCTAAAAGCCCTATATACAAACACCTCAGGCAGAGTGAGGGCATACAACCACTTCTCCCCATTGTTCCATTCGAGCAGTGGGGTTGGACAGGGTTGCCCAATCCCACCAGTCCCCTTCAACTATGCCATCGATGATATTCTGAAAACAGCTCTGATGAATGTAGGCAATGGTGGTGTGGATCTGTTGCTTGGAGAAAGACTTCTCAACCTCGAGTATGCGGATGATATTGTCTTACTGTGCGATAATACCCAAGCCATGCAATCCGCACTCAATCAGTTGACAATTAGAGACTGTAGGTATGGTATGTGCTTTGCACCTTCGAAGTGCGAAGTACTTCTACCAGACTGACAGGACCCTGATCCTGTGTTCACCCTGGGTAATGAACAAATATTAGTAGTCGAGAAGCTCGTGTATCTAGGTAGCTGCATATGGCTTGTGGGGGCGTAAGTGATGAGATCAATGCACGTATAATGAAAGCCAGAACGGTTTATGCCAATCTGGGCCATCTTTGGCGCCATCGTGATGTTAGTCTGGCTGTAAAAGGTCAGATCTACAACACATCGGTGAGAGTAGTTTTGCTTATTGCTTGTGAAACCTGGTCTCTGAGTTCAGGATGTTAGACGACTCTCTGTGTTCATCACCGCTGTCTCTGAAGGACTGCTGACATCCAGTAGCAACACCATGTTAGTAATGCAGAGGTTCGGCATCGTGTGTCTGGGCACAGAGACAATAATGCAATTTTTTTTCACCATCTTGAAACATCGACTTCGGTGGCTTGGATGTGTTCTATGAATGTCGTCCCAGAGAATTACGCGTCGTGCATTATTTTCCGACGCTGGGACTGGTTGGGAAAAGCGAAGAGGAGGTGGTCAGTGCATGACATGGTGTCGTGGTATGAAAGAAAGCTACAAAGGGCTGGCTTCTGATGGTCCTTCACGACTCCCTGGCTGAGGTCCTAGAGATTGTATTTTAATTCAGCTGTTTGAAATCTCCAGCTTCAGTCTAAATAACCGAGTATTTAAACGTTATACTCAGTATAACGACTGGTAAATCCAGAAGTAAATTACACACTCTAGTAGTCACAAATGAACAGACACTCAATTCAAAGAGAAATCGGTAATCACACTTATATTTATAATTCACATCGGGTGCGTAATAATTAACAAAGTAAAAATTAATGAGCACAAAAACCATACCTTGATTTGTGAACAGTAATCTGTTACTCATTTAATAAGTCTAAGTTCTACAGTGATATCTGTATATTTGATTCTTCTCTTATAGTACAATTAATAGAATCAGTAATTTATCATACTTCTGTCGCTAATTAACTGATGAAATTTCCGTAGCGATATAGATGATCAGGTTAAATTTCAACATATGAATTCACTTAATATTTCCACAGGGATGCCTCTGTTTTCTCCAGATCGAGTGTACACGTATCATTCATAAACGTTCCTGTCAGGGTTAAGTAGAGATAGTGGCTGCTAGTTATGTCTCATAATTGATTTCTTCTTAACTGATCTTGTATGTTTTCAGATTTCTTACAAACAAATATGTGACAAAAGTAAAATATCTAGGACCCTCACAATATTACGACAGTCTATTACTATCGATAACCACACAATATAGAACATAGCATAAAATACTAACCTGATTTGGATAAATAAGCTCCTACTAGTCAAATAGTTTGTCCTCTGCTACAGTAGGTTGTTGCTGATAGTGTCTAGTCAACGGATCCGAAGTATTTTGCATAGGCGATTGTAAATAAGCAATGTATCTTCTTGATGATGACTTCCGTAGTTCTCCAAGATTCCGTCCCATACAGTAGAACTGTTTTGACATTCGTACTGAAGATTCTGATATTAAGACAAGTTATGCTGTCCTGCAGAAAACTTCCATCTGGTACATAGCACTTCGAACACTTGCAGTCGAGTCAAAGCTTATAGCGAACTGTCATCTACTTTTCCAACCTCAGTTGGTGTCTGTCAAGGCTGTTCACTATCTCCATTTTTGTTCAACTTCATAGACATACTGATGGAAATAACGTTCTCGTCGACTGAATTTTCAGGCATTGGTCCCCTTTCAGTGGGTCCACTTATCGAATTGAATACACAAATGACATAGTTCTATTTGGCGAAGACGCTGATAAAATGAAGTCTTTTGTTAGCACTGAGCAACAATTCTAGGATGTTTAAAATGCATTTTTCCTCCTCGAAATGCAACTTGTTGCTTCAAGACTGGTCTGCGTCAACACCTGGACTTAGGATAGGGAGTGGAGTAGTCGGACGCATCGACAACTTTACTTATCTTGGAAGTCTGGTCATCCTTAATCGGTCGGTATCTGACGAAATCTCTGCACGTACTCAAAAGACTCGTGTGGCTTTTGCTAACCTACGTCGTCTATGGCGAAGGTGAGATATCCGTCTATCAATTAAGAGACGAGTATACTGCGCGGCAGTTCGTTCTATTCTACTTTACGGCTGCGAAACATGACCATTAAAGGTAGAGGATACTCTTAGGTTAATTGTTTGCAATGGCGCAGGTGCATCCATTCTTTGTGTTCTCCCAAATTCTGATCTTCTAAATTCTTCATGTCTCTTTTTCTTATCTTCCCAAATTTGTTTCACTGGATTATACTCCTTGAATAACATCTTTAAACCCTAATCTTTCCGATTACTACTTATACTCTTACTACCTATACCACAATGAGATTTGAATCGACAATTGTGTCTCTGTGCGAATGTGGTATGGCAACTTGGACCGATGCATATATGTGCCTGGTCCTACGTTGTAGCTGACTGATTGGTATGGCAACTCGAACTGATGTACGTACGTACGAAGTTCTACGTTACTGATAACTGACTGACTAAGTTACTAGTATTTGATCACAGATGTCTTAGAAATATTGCTCGCATCTGCTGGGATCACAGGGTAAGTAATAGTGAGGTTCAGATGCAGGGTATTAGAGAATGATGGCAAGTCGGTTGATGAGGTTGTGAGTCTACACTAACTGAGATGGTTGGGCCACGTGTTTTGTATGCCTGAACACCGATTACCACGGCGCACAATGCTGACTAGTGTTGGGGATGGATGGAAGAAAGTTAGAAGTCAAACTAAAAGTGGCATCAGTCCATAAAGTCACTATTTTCTGGTCTGAGCCATGTTGATAGATGCACACTACTTGGTTAGGGTCCGTGCGACTGTCGTACTTAATGGTTGGAGACTGGATGACATGGCTCAGAACCGATCACAATGGCGTAGGTGCATACACTCTTCGTCTTCCCTTAAACAGTGAGATTAAAATTACTTTATACCTTTATTTCTACAAGTTAATTCTTTCTTCTTGTATTATATCCTTATATGCAATCTTTCTTCCATATATTAATACTATTGAAGTAACTACTTCTATGAATTTGATGTGCTAATGAGGTATGGCATATATTTGCTTGCTACTACGTTGTAGCTGACTGACTAACATATAACTATCAAGGCATGTGACTTTCAGCCCGTAAGTCACAGATTCGAGCTATGTCCCAGCTGGTTTGTGTTTGAGCAACTGTTTAGTATCTCTAGGCCTTACACTTGAGGTTGTGGCTCAGAGTCAAGTACATGTATATGCACATAATGTTTAATTCAACAAGAAATAAGTTCGACCATATTATGTCCAGACCAAGGTAACATACTTGCGTATGCAAATTACTGTAAAAGATGTGATATTTTCGATTTAAAAGATTATCGCTGATTTATTTATTAACTAAGTAAAATTTGAAGGGATTAATTATGATTGTTTAGAAAAGTAGTCCAAATTGAATGAGTAGTTAGAAATACTACAAGTATATTATTTATTGCTATATCTTAACTGATAGCTTAGGTCGTTAGCTCACATAATTATGCAGTTAGCTACATAGAATTAACACATAAACACTTGCAAAAAAGACTCTTTTTCGTCATGTATTTCCTGTCGTATGTTAAATCATTCCAATGTCTTGAAAACATTCTGGATGAACGTTATTAATTCCCCTGCTTCAGTTAAATGATAGTGAATAACTAACAAAAACTAAGTAAATCAATACATAGTCTATATATCTCTTCTTCACTCAATATCGTAATAAGAAGTAAGCATACTTGCAATATAAATAATAAGTGGTCAATTATTTAGGAGATATAAATCCGTATTTAATTCTGAAGGTTTTCTAAAAAAAGCAGTCATATGATTAACAAAATACTAACTACATATTTTTCCATTCCTGTAGGTACCGTGTCCATTGTGTCGAGCTGAATTCCTACCATTCAGTGAAGTTCTTGTTAATCTAGTACACTCACAGAAAAATACAGAAAACAGTGATAGTTCAAAGTTGGGATAGATTTGTTTAGAAATGTTGACTTAATAACTTTACTGCAAATTATCTGTATATTCATTATTTCTTTTATAACAATTTTTATTTAAATACTAGTGAAACGTCTTCAAAAAGCTTGAAATGTTTAGAATTTTGTGCTAAATATTAAGTACAATACAGTAAACTTTCATACTTATTGTGATCATCGTCAGGATTCCATTTATCATTTTACGTCAGTATATTTCATTGTTACCATCTCAATTCGAGACTCGCCGCAATAGGAGCCAAAAGCAAAAGTCCTCAATTCTAATGTACCCAATGCTTACGATCGCCTGAAAGAGACCATTCTTCGACATTTCCTCCCATCGAAGGAAGGACTGAGGACATTGTTAGCACGTCACCCGCTGGGTGATGCTAAACCAAGCCATTACCTCACGCGCCTGCAATCCCTTGCAGGACCTACAGCAGCCGACCCTGAAATAGTTAAAGAATTATGGCTCGAGTCATTACCGGCTTATATTCAACCAACCGTGACGGCTCTGCTCGAAGATGCGCCACTTCATCAGGTCGCCCTCATAGCAGACAAGATTTTAGCAAGGACTAATAACAGAGATAGCTATGTAGTTTCCTCAGCGGCACGTCCTAATGTAGACAAGCGGAATTGGCATGAGAAAGTACGTGCAAACGGGGTGACGAACCGCAAAACAGTAATGGAGAATAATGGAAGAGCAATATGGCTGTCTTTAGCACTACAGGATCCCCCCGCTAGAAAGGGTTTACACTTTCGATAAGTAGCGGTTTGATTCGCGGGGCTGATCGGCAAGCGTGCAATTGTAGGACGAGAGGATTGGCGGAACAGGAAGCGATCGTTGAACCTCGAGTTGCCAACGAAGGTTTTTTACGGAGAACGGTACCGGGAGAAGTGTGCTGTATTTGTTGCTCGAGTTAGCATACCACACCAGAGTTGTTTGTATCCAGGATCTGAAGATTGTGTTCGTAGGGAATCGAAACATAAGACGCTGCAGACGTAGGACGAAACCACGTTGAGCCGAGGAACCAGAAACGACCATAGCAACCAGGTTCGAGACCATATGTACGCCAAACATTCGAAACCAATTTATCGACTGAGTGCGTTGACAAGAGCGTGGGTGATCAGGCCAGCTTTCGCCAAGGTTGACTGAAGTCGACGATACCAAACGGGCGATAGTCGGCGGCGTAGGCTCAGGATACAAAAAAATCAAAGAAAAAGTGTAGCATGCATGTAGTATAGGAATAATCCTACACCGTATCCATTATTGACTGTGCAGTTAGTCGCGAAAGCGTACTCGGCGACCAGAACGTAAGACGGTAGTTCCGTTCGTAGATGGCGCAGGTGACACGTGCTGTTGACCGAAACGTGAGAATGAGGTCTTTGATGTGTCTAGCGTGGTACCTGAAGTAGATGTAAGGATCCCGCTAGTAGGCTTGATAGGTCTAGCATTGAGTCTCAAGTTATCTGGTAGGGCACTGTTACCGACGTGTGTTGGTTTGAGACGATCAATGCTGACGATCTCGACGCGTCCGTGTCGATCAACCTTGAAGGTCTTTTCGTGACGAGAGATCACGTGAAAAGGTCCTTCGTAAGGCTGGTGCAATGGTTTGCGTACCGAATCTACTCGTATGAAAACATGTGAACAGGTAGATAACTCGAGGGAGAGTGACCTGTCGATGTTGTATACGAGTTGACACCGGAGACAGTGTTCGCATAAATGCAGACAGTCGGTGGACGTGGTCTGATTTACCGAAATCGTTACTGCTCCGTGGTGTGAAGAATTCTCCGGGCAGACACAATGTCGTGCCGTATACAAGTTCAGCGGCGGAACATTGGATATTTGCCTTTAAGTTCGTTCTCACCCCTAAAAAAACGAGCGGTAAGGTTTCGTGCCAGTTGCCGTCTTCGTGTGCTCGTAAAGCACTTTTAAGTTGACGGTGAAACCTTTGAACTAAACTATTTGAAGCTGGATGGTAGGCGGTAGTGCGTATGCGTTCCGTACCAAGCAGCCGAGTAAGTGAGGAGAATAATGCGGACTCAAATTGTTGTCCTCGGTCAGTCGTGACAGTCGAGGGACAACCGTATAGAGCTATCCATCGTTCTACGACGCGGTGGGCAACTGTCTCCGCCGTGATAGACGTCATGGGTAAAGTTTCGGGCCATCTGGTGAAGCGGTCGATGCACGTGAGTATGTGATCATACCCATACGACGGTGGCAGTGGTCCTGCAATGTCTATATGAACGTGATCGAAGCGAGCATCAGGCGTAGCGAAAGTGCCAAGGGGGGCGGCTACGTGCCTGTGCACTTTTGATCGTTGACATTGTAAGCATTGCTTCGCCCACATACGAACATCTTTATTCATGGAGGGCCAGACGTATCGTGCAGCGATGAGACGTGATGTAGCTGCGATACCTGGATGAAACAATCCATGCAGGGCATCGAATACGAGACGGCGGTAAGAAGAGGGTACGATGGGTCGGGGAAGACCGGTAGAAGTATCGCATAGGATAGCATCTGAGCTCGTAGCTAGTGGTACTTCCTGGCACTGAAGGGATGTAGATTGTAGTGCTTTTGTACAACAGGGATCGTTTGCTTGGGCGGCTGCCATAGCAGGAAGACCGAGCACCGGTAAAGTAACTGCATTCGCTTGGATACGTGATAGGGCATCGGCAACATAGTTCGACTCGCCTTTAATGTGACGAAGGTCTGTCGTGAACTGGGAGATATAGTCCAAATGTCTGCACTCTCGTGGTGAGTAGCGGTCACACTTGGTATGCAGGGCATACGTTAAGGGCTTGTGGTCGGTGAATAAGATGAATTGAGGTCCTTCTACGGCGTGCCGGAAATGTTTGATGGCGCAGTAGGCTGCTAGCAGCTCGCGACCAAAAGCGCTATATCTCATCTCCGTGGAAGTAAGGCGTCGTGAGAAAAACTCGAGGGGTTGCCAACTACCGGAGATATTTTGTTGCATGACTGCTCCTATAGCGACATCGGATGCATCAACCGCTATACTAAGCGTGGCTGATGGATCGGGATGGGTGAGAAGAGTGGCTTGCGCAAAAGCCGTTTTGATCTCTGTGAATGCAGTACGTGCAGAATCGTTCATTTCTAATCTGAGTAGGTTGCCGCGAAGTCGGTTAATGGTCGTAACCGTTCTGCCGCGCCTGGGATGAAACGACGGTAGTTAACCAAACCGAGGAATGCCTTCAGTTCCTTGAGTGAGGACGGCACGTTGTTCTCCTTTATTGCTCGCACTTTGTCCTCGCAAGGTAGAATACCCTCCTTCTTAATGACGTGACCCAAAAATATTATTTCCGGTTTATCCAATCCACACTTGTCCGAGTTGACTACTATTCCATTATCCGAAAGGCGTTGGAATAATAGCTTAAGATGTTGATAATGTTCATCTACGTTTGATGATGCAATTAGCAGGTCATCAATATAGACGTGAACAAAACCTAAGTCTCGTACAATGCTATCGATAAACCTTTGAAAAGTTTGAGCAGTATTCCTTAGTCCAAAAGGCATTCGTAAGAACTCAAACAGACCGAAAGGAGTCGTGATAGCAGTTTTTTCGATATCTTCAAGAGCGACTGGGATCTGGTGATATGCTCGTACCAGATCGATCTTGGAAGAGATAGTCATGCACTTCAGCGATGCCGTGATGTCGTGTATGTGGGGGATGGGGTAGCTATCAAAGCGCGTAACTACGTTTAGTGCTCGGTAGTCGCCGCATGGTCTCCAACTAACCCCATCCTTTTAGCGCACCATATGAAGAGGAGAGGCCCAGGAACTGTGAGGACGAATAATACGAGAAGCTAGTAAATTGTCAAACTCACGTCTAGCGAAGGCTAATTTGTCCGGTGGTCTTGCCGTGACTGGTGGTTCGCGGTTGACTATGTGGTGTACCACACGGTCGGTCACCGATGAAATCTCCTCGAGTGGTTTAGTCAATGTAGGGAATTTATCGTCACGCGAATAAAAAGTGCCAAGGATTCGGTACACGTTCGTGTGGGCTTTGCAGCCCATGAATTTACTGTTCAACGAAGTATCGATTAGCTGCAGCCTACGTGCATCGACTAGCAATTCATAGTGCTGTAGGAAATCATTACCTAGTATTGCTGTGGGAAAATCGGCAATGATGAACGTCCACAGATACTGTTTTCGGTCGCCCAGGTTGACCGCGAGTTGTCATGTACCATAGGTTGGAATGACTGAGCCATTCGCAGCGCGTAGTCGATGCATTGTAGCTTGTGACTTGCTGCTACCTCGTTGTACGACAGAGACTTGGGCCCCAGTGTCTACTAGGAACCTAGCGTTTGTGCGGTAATCGTGCACATAGAATAAACGGCCAACCTGGGGGAGAGGGCCGGCGAGTACGGCCGCTTTTACTCGCCGGTTTTGGAGTTTCCCGCCTTGTATGAGCACGGTGCTCGACAATGGCGGCCGCCAGACGCGAAGGACCGATGGAACCAACATCAACCTTCACTCGCTTCCGGAGCCGCCTTTCGGCGTGGCTTGGGCGAGTGATGACGGCTTTGTGGGAACGTGAACAAGCTCGGGTGACGTAGGGTTGGGGTGTCACAACGGTTTCGAAAACTAATACGTGTGTGGATACACCCGTCCCTGTCACCGTGAGCCGAAAAATGACCGGCGTCCTTGTCTACATTAGGACGTGCCGCTGAGGAAACTACATAGCTATCTCTGTTATTAGTCCTTGCTAAAATCTTGTCTGCTATGAGGGCGACCTGATGAAGTGGCGCATCTTCGAGCAGAGCCGTCACGGTTGGTTGAATATAAGCCGGTAATGACTCGAGCCATAATTCTTTAACTATTTCAGGGTCGGCTGCTGTAGGTCCTGCAAGGGATTGCAGGCGCGTGAGGTAATGGCTTGGTTTAGCATCACCCAGCGGGTGACGTGCTAACAATGTCCTCAGTCCTTCCTTCGATGGGAGGAAATGTCGAAGAATGGTCTCTTTCAGGCGATCGTAAGCATTGGGTACATTAGAATTGAGGATGACCTCACGTACAGCTACTAAATGGTCCCAAGTTTATTTCGTTGGCGATCTCGTGCTATCGAATGAATACCGAGATCGTGCCAAGAAAAGGTACAAGCGGAATCGGCACGAGAATGTACGTGCAAACGGGGTGACGAACCGCGAAACAGTAATAGAGAATAATGGAAGAGCAATATGACTGTCTTTAGCACAGTAAAACAATCATTGCTACAGTTGGTTATAATAATAATTGTTTTCATTAAACTAATCGCGTTCTCTTGATAAAAGTAGGCCACTACAGTTACCATCTAATCCTTTCGATGTATTCTTGAATTCGCTAATTGTTCAGTAATTTACACTGCTTATCACAAACCCCAACCTTTTGTTTATTCATATTTATATTTTATAAAAGCTCTGCTTAGCAAAACAATAATGTTGCTTTAAATTAAACAAAAAATAAAGAGTTTTCTTAAGATATCGATTTCATTTATTGGTTGATAGACAAAATCTAGACACAAAAGTCACAGTAGCAAATTGTAAAAATATTATTTATTCAATAATGGTTTGAATAAATCCGCATGTATGTTAGATGTAGTTTAATAACTAATCATATATAGTTCTTTTTTTTAAATATTAGTGTGATATTAATTCCATCTTTTAAATTGAATACCTTTTATGTTTAGGAATTTAAGAATATAATTAAAGATTACGTCTCTAGCTGAACTTATTTGCTTAAAATCAATTCAATAAGTTTCAGGGTCATGAAAATATAAATGGAATATTAAAAGATCAATTTATTACGTGTGTTATTAATAATGTTTACAGTTATAAACATAATGTTACATAACTTATATAGTTACAAAAAAAAAGATGCAGAAATTCAAGTTTCCTCATATTACCATCGGGTTTTGTCAACAACAAAAAAAAAAGAAAAAGGTAGATCTATATTTTTAATTGTACCGAATAATGAATTTTGAACGGCAAAAAGGATTTTGGCAAAATTGATTGTTTGTCGCTTGTATAAAATTTTCTCTTACTGTCTCAATTAATAAAATCGACAGTATTATTTCTTTCATAATTAGTGACTAATTGTGAACGAAATCGATAATAAGCGAATATAATCATTCCTATGAGGCAAATCACGTATATTGTACATACAATTTCTGAGCAAGGTGACGAAAACGTATTGATTAACGACTGTAAAATCAATAATAAATATAAACATAATGTAGGTATAGTTTGAAATGGATTGATTAAGTTTAGGATAATTTTCATCAAGACCCATTGTTGTTTTACCGTAATTTGAAACAAATCAATGCATCACCTACTGATGTCTCGTAGCAACCACGATACACTTTTTTTTTATTGCGTTAGAATACATTGGTCAATATAACCAACTTCAGTTATTCAGCATTCGCCTACAATGTGATCGATTGTTTGATTGATTTCATAGATCGTGCCCTTTAACTAAAGTCTTTAGAAATCCAGTCATAAACCATTACAGACTAGTACACAGTTGTTATTTTCGATAAGGTTTAGAATAAGCCAAGTTTTTTTTAAATCCACAACATCGTCGTTGTATATGGTGAAGTGATTTAAGTCAGAAACAGGTCACTGTTGTTTCTTGTTACTACTGAGTTTATCACCTTAATTGTGATTTCTTTTAACCCAACACAATTATTATTCAATATAGAATCATTTTTTACTTGCATATATTCATATATAAATTCGTCAAGAATCCAACATAGTGTTTGATTTTCATAGATCTTAGATCAGTCTGGCATATCTCTTGTTATAAGGATGTGTTATAAACAAAGTACATAAATATTATTTATCATCGAAAATATATCATAAATACAATAAGAACATTTTTTACACCAACCATGCCAGCTAGTCCGAAATGCATAAAGTATACAAGGATAATTTGACCATATGCACGTTGTACAAACGCAGAAAACAGAATTAGAGACCAAAACACTTGAAGCATTGACATACACATACACTGACACGCTAACAAAAAGAAATAAAACGATTTCAATAAGTTGGATATTATATGTGGGTAAAAGTGCAATACATAAGTTACATGGAATTACTTAATGACTGAAGTAAACGCATTAATTTACTGTTTGCTTAACAAAGCGATCGTTTGGGTGGTAGGCAAATGGAGACCATATCTACTTGGTCAACAATTCCGTGTTGACACTGATCATAAGCCACTACAATAGGCAACATCAGTAGAAGATCCCCGAAATGAAATAAACACAATGTATGTTGCGCCTTCAGAAGTATGATTTCATGATTGATTACATCGTTTTCCCTTATGGTTGCTGTTTGTACCTCCGTTGTTTTCTTATATTAACTGTCTACGCTTAGTGGTTACTTTCTTGTTCTTTGTGTCTAGTAATACCTCTATATCTCTGAGAAAATTTGCTTTCAATATCGTCTGTTGTATCCCTTTTATCACAAGGAATGGATATTGCACTCAACATCAATTTATTTTTATGCAGCAGTCCGCCACCGCTAAAATTTCAAGCGTATGTACACTCATCGTTTGTACGGCCTAATAATTTAACAGAGCCCTTCATCTATTAACTAGTTCGCCGCCCCCGTTTCAACTAAGCAAACCAATTTTTCCCATTTATTCGTGTACATTGAGCCCTTATCAACTAACCCAACAACCTCAAGTGTCGTTTTAGGGACGAAAGACATGTTGTAACGTCCAAACGGGTTCTGTTTCCGCTTCCTGGGGCAATCCCTCCTGTAATATTTGACCTTCCCACACTCAAATAACCTATCTCCCGTCTTCAAACTCCCTCGTGTCCCGCCAATCGTTGTCGTAGATCTTTGGTCTACACCTCTAAAGCGACTGAGGTTTTACAGTTATCCTTTGCCGATGATACGGTCAGACTCATCAGTTGTCTAGCTGCCCTAGCCATTTCTGAGATTTCCATTGGCTGTGCGGGTCTGTTCACCCGAAGTGGGATATCTCCCCGTGGAGTTGCGACACCAGCAGTTGATCCTTCGATTTATCGCCCAGTGCGAAAAACGCACGTCGGCGCAGGTTAGTTAATGTAGATGTCAATATTAGCCGGTTTCCGTGCGGCGCGAAACGCACAGCTCTAAACTATTATAATGCCACTTGACAGTCACCCAAGCTGTCAAACTCTATCAGCAACCAAGAAGCTCGGACATCCCAAGATTCCTTCCCGACCACTTCAACGACTCCACCGGACGCTGCCTTTACCCCATCACGCAGCAGTGTCCCCAAGGCTGTCACCCTCGCTTGTTACTCGCTCACACAGACCAGCTCCGCCACGGTCTTGGACTGTCTCAGATAGCTCCTGACGTTTCCATCCTCGAGCGGTCCCGGGCGCAGCAATTTCATCCTGATCCTGGCAGTGACGCCAATCGTAAAACAAGGCAATGTTCAGAAGGAAAGAATATTTAGTGTGCAAAATTACAAAGTCTTTGTATAACACGTATACATAGCCTTTAGATCATCCATTTGCATCTTATGGTATGTTCTGCTATCTGAACTCTCTTCTGACCTTCAAGTGTCCTGTCTACATCGTGCTTGTGATGCATTAAAATGCTTCTCCGTCTAACGCTCGTGACAGCTTCGAGGCCATGTTCAGCTTCGCACTATTTGCAAGCAATCTTACGAGTAGCATCCACCACCCCAATACTAGGTAATCGCTAAACACATCATAATTAGTGTTCATAAAAAAAGCGTTTTATTAGAAATGTAAGGATTCTTACTGATGTATTGGTATTATTACTTGACAAAATCTAGTCAATAAAAGTATGATTGGGTGTATATATTCAACCGTCAGTGTTTTTATGGTCAAATTATCGTCTGATCACCACAAAAGCTAACTTATTAAAGTATTAACCCTGTGTATTTGTAACTACTTGGCTAATACCTTTAGTGCTTTAGGAAATTCAATCCTTAATGATATATACGAGGTAGGAAACATGATCCAATGGTTACTTTTTTTCTACATAAATAAACAAATTTAACGTTACTGACATAAAACATGACATCCCCACGTTCGGCCCTATATTAAAGTGAGTCCATATCACAGGAATCAAGAAAGGAAAACAACTATTGTGGATCTATTGACTTTGTGAACCCCCATGGTTTAGAGATTAGCTTATCTAAATTCGGAGAATGCAGTCATAGACCTGATAAATAGACAACCTATTTGAACAGCTAGTGAGTATATCAACTTTTATAATCCTGATACATTTATTATTGATAATACTCATTGCTTACTATAATATCATGCATTAAGTACATGAAATCACATCATCTATATTTTATTACTTAAGATAACATTTTACAGACTAATAAATTAAGTAGGTCTGCGCTTCTTTTGAATAACGTTAGTCCTATCAAACGGTGACTAAGTGATTAATGCATCATACTTTTAAATACTTTGTCTCAGGTTCGAACAATACTTTACCTACTTTGGTTTATAGACTACGTTAATAGCACTAAGATCTAGTAGAGAGTGAGATTAAAGTCATTCTGTATAACTGTATTATTTAAAGAATAGGCTAACAAATTAGGAATCAATGAATGTAGTTCGTTAATCTACGTCGATATGTCAACTACAATATCATTGGAAATCGTGAGGGCATTTCAGAAAAATGCACCCCAGATTATTGAATAATGATACAGTAACAAGAGAATTAACAAAGGATAGATTGAGTTACAATGTATATCATTAATTAAGTACACGTCCATATACTGAAGGAAACTGTAACACATTTATTTGATAACACTTAGTGATAGTATTTAGTTTCCAAGATCTCGGTAAGCAAAGGTAGAGTCAAAAGCTTACGACATAAGCATTGGAATTTGGAGACTGACCAGTGAACCACAGTTCTAAAACTTGCTTACTATAACAATTTGAGTTAAAAATGCTGAGGCGCCTTTAAAGGAGCTATATATTATTACACTGGGATGGTAAGATGGTGAAGTAGCGCGCAATCATTCTAGATTACCGAGTTTTGATTGCCCATCGGTAGCAACACACAGCAAAATTGTAATTTACAGCTAATTACGGTACTTTGTAAATGAATCACATTATAATAAATTCAATTATCACAAGAAAATACGAATACACAATAAAACAACCTAATAATAATACACTCACACGAAAATAGAAAGAATGTTTTCGAATTCCATGATGAATACATAGTTATTCCAGGGCCATAGGAATCGATAAGCATACGTAATGATTGTATAATACAACTCATTAAACCATATCCTAAACCAGAGACATAAGCGACTGTAAGATGATCAAGTTTTACATTATTATTATTAATATTGCCACTATTATTACTATCATTCAAAATATTATGATCATAGTCGTTTGTTATTACATTACTACTAGATATTTTTCTATTTCTTGTTAAATTTGAAACTTCATTTCTTTCAGTTTCTCCTCTTCCATTACTATGATTATCAATAATGTTGTCGTTGTTAATTCCATCAGCCAGCTGTGGCCTTGAAATAGTAGTAGTAGTTGTTGTTGTTGTACTACTTACAATCAGCTGAAGGCCGGATTCAGCTTTGCTATAGAAGAAACAAAAAGTAAAAGTGAATAGAAAAACATATGAGAAAAAGCACTTTTACATAGTACATATGTGTATATGTGTGATTTATTACTTAACAAGGATCAACAACTTTCTAATCTAAACAATTTGGATTCCAATTTCATTTTAAGTACGATGCAGTTGTACATGAATAATAACTATTGATAGCGAATACAGTTAATCTGTACGATTTTATCTCTCATTTAACGTTAGTGATCTTGAGTTTTTTTAAAGGTATGGTGGCAGTTGATACTTCCTAGTTTTTTCATGTCGTGGATAAATACTTTTTCTTGAGGTATTTCAAGAATACAACTGGATTAAAGATGCTACTGGCAACCCAGGATTGTGACAAAAGTACACAAGGGACAGCTACTCGACGTCAATTCTACAACCTATTAGTGAGCAGTATTAGACTTGATGTTTGAAGGAAATACCTTACTACCGTTAAACCCCAGTACAGTTCGCAGTACAACTTCGCCCTCGCACCTAAAGGAACGATCCCTTCACTCAATTTAACCTTACCTATTTATAGCGATCCGTGCGCCCTATCACTAAGTCAAGGCAGTAGCTACGGTTCGGAAGCATCGCAATACACGCATAACTATTACTTAAAGATAAGCACGTGTCAAATGTTTTATACAGTCGTAATTTGATTTCTAACTATCATGACAGAATATACATATAAAGTGATTGTCCTAAGATGAACCGCCCCACTCACTAAAAGTAAATAGCTTTGATAATAAAAAAGTAATACAATCGACAAAACAAGAACGTACATAATCAATAAAAAGAATAGAAATCGTAGAATTTCTTGGATTAACACACCAATAAGAATCCCAAATGCAAGGTAAGCTCGTAGTGGAGTGACTATAAACCACATCACAGATGTAATAAGTAATGACACCAACCAGAAAAATCCACTAAATTAAATTTTTAAAAAAAGAAAGAATTGAAAAATAGAAGATATGAAAAAAACAAGTGTCACAAAGAGGGAATTAGCACAGAATCACATTAATGTTTGGTAGATTTTAATATCGATAGTATATTGATTGAGGAGTTGAAGTTGTTTTTCCTTTATGAAACCATCAGCAAGAATGATAAGTTATTATCAGCGCCACATTAGACACGTATATTCAAAAATGAAATATATGCCTAGGAGCCCATATATAATGACAATCTATTTCCATAACTGTATCATTGTTCGTCTTGCTGTGCTAATGAGGTGTGGCAGCTTGGACCGATGCATGTATGTGACTTGTCCTACGTTGTAACTGACTGATTGATCATTGATAAAGGAAAACTTTTTTCGTGTAAATCTTGCTTACCATATCCTTGCAAATCGTAAACAATTATGCTCTATTTAATAGTATTTCCTAATTCGTGTGACCGTAAGCATTTTACTGGGCATTTAATTTATATATTTATGTATCATCAGATTTTAAATACGATGACGATCTGAATCCAATATCAAGTTAACACTTTTCAATGGTAAAGTTGCAGTGGCCATTTATATGAAAAAGATTAATTCTCTTTCAGATATCTGTCTTATATCATATTTTGTAAATTGTTTTGACACATGTCCACCCAAATTTTTATCTTCCTTATAACCATCGAGTGAACAATTTTTATTACTTTATTTTCATAAGTTATTTCAATTTTATTATCTTTTGATGACTAAGTAGCTGTAAATATTGATTGACTTTTAGTACCTCTTTTAATGACATAATAATTTTGTATTTTTATTATCTACCATTATATATATATATATATATATATATATATATATATATATATATATATATATATATATATATATATATATATATATAGGGAGAGAATAACCATAAACTAATATTTACTTTAGGCAGTTGAACAGTGATTAGTAGTGGAATCCATGTGTGTTTCTTAGCATTTGGGACTCGTCAACTGAGAACGCCTGGATCTGTGCTGATATTCACGCCGGTATTCAGACCCAGTATATTTGCTCCGAATACCCAAAGCGTTATGCACTTAGCTACTGAGTTCAGATAGTCACCCAATTAATGGTAATCCCCTTAGGATGTATGCCGAAAGAGACCATTCAATTGAAGTCATCAACATAAACGAGAGGATGTAGATCACTGCTATGGATGAATTATTATTTATTGCTGCCACAAAGAAACACCAATAGTTATCACATAGTTCATAAAACTTAGTAAAAATACACCTTATCCTTTTGAGGTATTTTGTTTCTAGAAATAAACTAGTCTGAATTCGGAGGGATGACACAGTAGAGTTAAGGTATATGAGCTAAGTATATCAATACAAACCACTGTTGCAGAACCAAATTTTGATTCACATTGTTTAAAATTACAGGCCCCAATGGGAATTAGCTTTTGGTCCAGATTTTACACTCATGTTTTTTCTTTGATAGTCAAAAACGAGTTCGTGTTGAAACCCTTATCTATCCGGAGACGAAAGTGAGATAAATACGCCTAAACGGAAGTACCTGCGAAAAGACTTAAGTGTCCGGTTAAATTGTCAAAAATCAGAGGCTCTAAGACATTACAGTATGGCTTTTGAATACCTGCACTGAAGATTTATAGGGTCAGTTGTTAAACATGTATGAACTGAACAAGACAAAATTTGACAAAAGTTTGTTAAAAGTAAATCCTACATAGTCGTTGTGTACTTAGTTGTCTGAAATGATCGACTGTGACCTGGGAAACTTGTAAAACTGTTGAACTAAAAATTCGAATTAGTTTACTAATCTCCTGAGGGTTGTAAGTTTTGCTCATAAGTGATAAAAGTTGCAAGAAAAACTTGAAAATACCATGTTAAAATGTCTCAAAAGGCTTTTCAACAATACGAGCAAATGTATGCAAGAAAATTGAGAGTTGTCCGAGTAAACAGGAAACACAGTTAAACATAACTTTAATGAAATTGTAATAAATACCTGGCTGTGAGTAAAATGACTTTTGTTGGACAATTGGCGACTGTACATAGGAAAAGAACTAAACAAGGACCCACTCCAATAAGAGTATAGCCAACTCCCCCCAAATAAGTCATTCGTTATATTCAAAAAGCATAGAAAATTGAACTGATATCTAGAGATATTAAAAAAATGCAAAGCAGAGAACCAAAATTATAACAGTAAGTTCTGAATAACGTTAACATTACATCCAACGGTGTCATGATTCGTTTGATGGTTCTTTGGAATATGAAAGTGAATAGCTACAAAAATAATAAATTATATACAGAATAGTCACTATCGAAGAGGAATACTACAAAAACTTTTTGTGGTAGATATCTGAACTGTAATGGATGGACGAAATAAAATTGGAAAGTATTTCTTTGTTCTATTTGTAATGCTTAAGAGGCCACTTAACAATGGTAGCAATCCTTAATCTGATTCAAACAGAAGTTGCATTTCCAATACTATAAAAAAGAGGTTGAGTTGTGGCTTACTGGTTTGTGTTTGATTTTTGGCTACCGAGTCAGGAAACAAAGTTTGCATAATCAAAAACGGTCTTAATAACCAAACATGAGGTTTGCTTACAGATAAAGCATAAAGTCAGTGAGTTACAGTATTTCCAGTCAGCATAAAACGCAGTAGAATCAATCGAAAGTATGATAATAATTTACCAAGATACTAGATATTGACAGACATGAAAGAGGGTCCATTTTTACCACCTTAAAATACAGTAAGGACCGACGGCAATCGAAGAACAAATTGACAGTCAGTTATTCCAAAAACCAATAGTAGTAAGTAAACAAGGCTTAGAACAAATCAGTTAACGAAGTTGCATCTAAAAAAGTGGTTTAACGCAAAGTTACTTAAGTATACAAGTAATACTTTATTTATTTATTTTAACACAGATATTGGTACAGGGAGGCATCAAATACATATGCGCAACAGAGATCTCATTTGATATATGTGAGGGCTGTGATACTGCCCGGGTGCCCAAACCGAAGCAAGTAATACTAACAGTTGACTAATCTCCAACCACTACCTAACTGAATTATAGCGGTCCAGGAGGCGAATGACGAATCAACGTCGATCCTATTACCCGCAAAGATACCGGACTTGTGGAAAACCTTAAAATCAAAGTACATCTGATAATAAGTTAATATAAAATTCACAAGGAAATTAACTAGGATTAACTAGCAAGAATGGGATAAACTGACATAAAGAAGTGAGAGAGCTTGAGGATGATAACCTTTTCAGCTAGTACTATGTAGACAATAGAGAAGTGCTCAGCTTCCGTTGTGGTAATATGGTACAAGGTATAGTTATTATGGATCATCTTCAGCTGGATCATCATGACTAGTTAAATAAAACCCTCCGTGGTTTAGTCATTCCATGAACCAAAACTTTTAAATTTTGTATTCTTCTAGTGTTTTTCATTTCTTCACAATAATGTCATTTTGTGGTCGGTGGAATATTTTTGGTTACCAAATGTACCTTTTTGTAGAATAAACAGATTTAGTGTCAGGTGTCAAATTATCCAGTCTGACAATATCTAGAACCTGATTCAGAAAGTCATTCAAATGCTTCTGGAATATAACTGTCTATTTTTGAAGTCTACATTGTAGTTCCATTATATTTTCTTACGTTTTAGTAAGTGAATCTAGCGACAATGGTATGTGTAGGAGTCGGGGATAGAATAACAGAAACAAATAAATTTTCGGATAATTTCAAAGTAAACCCATTGCATGATCACTCTGCTTCACAGTCATAAGATCAAAATCCCCATTTTATTTTTGATGCAGTCCTAATATCCAGTACAACGACCGATATACAGAACGTAGTATTTTCCAATCAGTTGAAGGCGGTTGAACACTTGATAAAATAGATAATTAGAACAAAAACAGACTAGGTACAACAGGGGTCCATATTTTCAACCCTTCACGTTTCTTTAAACAGTTCAACTAACTTGCAAGCCAGGATTTTGTCTATTTCTTTTATATTCAGTAATGGCTTGGGCGAAAAAATGAAATGACAAGTTTAAAAACTCTAAGAGGTCCAAATTTGTGAATAGGATACGACTGAATGTGCAAGTCAATTAATATTTCCATGATTCCGTAAGTGCTACTTTAGATCAATTTTACCTAGTGAATCAACATAGCCCGAATGTTATTGTGGAGAACATACAATCAAAATACCATAAATATCCTGAACATGTGAGGAAATCATGGTAGTTTTGTCCAAAAGCATTTTATCAAAAACGCTTTCGCTACTGCTACTCTAAAGCGAAATAACACGAGACGATCGTTGTTTCCGAATCAGTCTTATACAAGATGATGAGTTGTTGAGAAAAGTTTAGGGGAGCGTAACTAATTTGATCTGCTCAATCGCAAAGCTCTAGTATGACGAAAGACAGTCTAAACTAACCTATTAATAGGTTAGTTTGGAATATTCCATTATCATATAGAACGAATTGGATTTGCCGAATTGCTTAACAACAACTTTGCACTTGACACGCTTTTATTTTCCTCGTCTTCCAAAACAGAGAGTTTATAATTGGGCCGAAAAAAGGTTAAAGACCTAAACTAACCAATTGTCAGCTGACGATCAAGTTTCAAATTGAACGCCGACCCTCTACACGTGATCCAGATTACATCTGTCGACACATTATAAAGTTAGATCGTAAGAGATCAAAACAGATCATCCAGCATTCTGTCCTCCACGAATTGATACTTTTACTAAATTATTTTTAAATTAGCTACAAACTGCGGTACACATTCCCTCTGCTGGTGTACATAAAATCTATTTATTATCTCCATGTCGTTTATTTGTCCCTCTGACTCTTTGTGCAGAAATGTCATGAGGACATTTGGGGAATTTATAAAACTACTTAAGACTCGTTAAGAGACCGAAGCATAAACTGATATTGCCCTTAATAAAGGTATCAACATGAAGAAACAGTTTAACTTAAAGTAAAATACTTGCATTATATTCTCCTTGCGACGTAGTGAGACACTGTCCATTTTGGGAGATTACTGAGTATTTGAAGGTAGAACTATCGTAATTGATTGGAGCGTCGCCACAACAATTGATCACTAGTAATCAATATTATTCTTAAGATCATGCGCCTATAACTCATCACCACAACCAAGACAAAGACCACATGGGTCATCTACATATGCTTCATTCCAAATAACATCACTCTTTAAGTTTAAGTATTGCTATTGTCAATATGAATTTCGGGTCTGTGTGGAAAATAGTGAGCTAAAGCATCCCTCTATTAAAACCGTGTACAACCATCCTTGCTTAGAACGGTGTATTTCTGTAGATCCTTCGTAACGATTATACTTAGGGCCATTTTTACTCAGTAGTACGTCAACGCGTGGCATTCGATATCTGGTTTCTTGGGAGTCTCACAAGCAGTTCTCTAATGACGATGTTGCCAAAATATGGTCACAGTCGCGCACATTCTAATCAACTGTGTTTAAACACTTGACATATCATCATCAGTGACGTTCACAATATTAGGTACAATATCCCTAACGATCAGTTTCTAATTAACGTTTAGTCATCTGGCTATTATCATTTTAATTTACTCAGTTTATTGCATCAGAATGAATCTATAAGGCATTTTTGTTCGCAGGACGGTTTAATGACGCAGTTTTGTTTGCGACTCACCGTCAGATTGAACTGTATGTGAAGTATCCTGAAATGGTGTGCACTAGCTTGAAATGCGATATAAATATGGACAATTTAAAAAGTTATTTCACAAATGTTACTTGTAGATATTCTTTGTTCCGATTAGTTGTTACCAGTAGTTGTTGACGTTATTGTCCGTTTCTGTCTGTGTGGACAAAGATATAGTTAACCGACGGTGAGAGATAGACATTGATTATCTTTTTGTGATATAATATGGAACACTCTACTTTTTTATAGACTTCGAACAAACTGAGATAAGGGCTATAAGTTTCACACATGATCATGTCAGTATTATACTGTGCTCTCATTACCTGTGTAATTTATTCTGTTACTAGACAAATGTCACTGTAAACGATGCAAGTAATTACTATTGCCTTGCACTTGTTGGTCAAGTCATATGTTTGTCGACAAATGCAAACGAAAAATTTTGAGCAGAAATGTTTTTTCCCACATTTATTATCAAACTTTATCAGATTATACGAGTTATCTCACAGGTTGATAGGTACTTTTGGTTGATCTGACAAAAAACTGGCTATCGCGTAAACATTTAGAATTATTTTCTACTTCTGCATTGGTACATTTAACCTTGTCACTAATAAATAAGACCTAATCCCGGAATTGTAGATATGTCCTGACGTGATAATTTTACCTCTATGATCTTATGTGGAGGTTGCATCACTGTCTACACTGATCCTTCGTATCGTGACAATTAGCAATACGTTGTTTAGCATTTATGAAGAGAATATTCGGAAAGCAATGACCTCGCCTACAAGTCCGAGCCACAATTTACCGAAAAATTCTCCCTCCCTTCATCATTGGCGACCTCTTCCAAGTGTTACGTGTTGAATGTCGATTTTCCCAGTTATCTTTTGTTCAGGATCATGTGGTTAATACCAATAACCATACAAGCACATATGGGCTATAGCTCACAATGGGCGTGTGATTGACATAGAAAACAGCTCAAATATCTGCGCTGATTCACTCGATTTTTAACTGATTATTGATCTGATTACGCAGTGGACGAAGACATGGTAGAGACAACCAATTTATTACTGACAACTTTAAAAACTTCACTGGTCAACCAACCACCGATAAATTGCAAACGATCCTAGTGTAACTATGTGTTTATTAGATGCTCTGCTAACTGGTATTACACATTAGTTTTTGAGTAACACTTCAGTGACACCAACATTTATGGACAACATTTGGGCGATGCCTAAATAACAATAAGACTAATCACCTATTCATAAAGATCAAAGAAGGATTATTAATTAGCGTAAAGAGCTTGTGTTAGGATTTTCAATCCGGAGATACAAGAATAAATAAACAGATTATACGAATGGACTGTTTGGTGGAATTTGCCACTTAATGTTGACAAAAGTGCATTAATTCACATTGGTCGCTGCATTAACTTAAATCTGACTATACACAAACATACACTGAAAACTCTCAACACTGTTCGTGACTTGGGTTTAAGATATAGCAACAGTTTGAACTTTTCTGAACGCATTGCATCTCAAGTATCCAAAGCTAGAAAGCTCATCGGATTCACAATGATGAACTTCATTAGTATCGAATCGAGACTTTTATTACATAGAAAATGTTTCTTACCCATTTTTTTGAATATGGTATTTTAGTTTACAGTAACTGTGGGCATAATGACCTGTTTAAAATTGAAGAGGTTTAAATAAGGTTCACCAAAGCTGTTCTGGGGTATTCCGAAAACAAAGACTATCACCAAAGATGTTAACAACTCAAATTAAAACTTTTCTGGATCAGACGTATCAAATTAAACCTTGTCTTTATCTACCAGCTTATTAGCGATACTTCCTACTCTTCGGTATCCACCAATTTATCCCACAATCTACGCAATAAGGAAAATAATCTAGCGATTCCAAGAACCCACACAAACTTACGAAGTAATTTTTTCGTTATTCGCTACTCAACCATGTGGAACACATGGCCAGTGAACCCCTGTCGCAGTGAAACTGCAACCCGGTTCAGAATTCTCCTTGATGGTTTTCCTTCCGAAAGTGGATTATGTTACCTATTGAATATCAATGTATCTAATAATGATTTGTACAAACAAGGTCCGTCATCCATCTAATTGACTGAAAATAAAAATTTAACTTTTGAAACTTTTAACGTCTATCTTACTTTATTTTCTTTCTGTTCATCTTAATATATGAAGTCTGCTTATGTTCGTATCTATAATTATTGTTGTTGATAATATCATTATTGGTCCCTCAACACACAAGATATTCATTTCATTTTATCCTTCTAAACATATATTATTCCTAAATATCCAAAGTCTATAACTAGAAACAAATAATTTCACGGTACACTCAAATAGATTAACTCGGATTCAATTTATCTTCACCATATATATATATATATATATAACACATAGAAATTTGTATTTGATTATCCTTTGCAATTATTTGTGACTTTCATAGCATCATTCTTAATTATTATTGCACAAGTGTTTATATTAATATACAGTTTCACTCTGTATATTATTACATAAATCTACATGTATTCATGCGAGTGCAATAAAGGAATTTTATCTTAATTTCCTAAATTGTTGGTTTACTTTAGACGTCGATATTCATTACACAATTATTATTACTATCATCATGATTTAACCCTCTCACTAGGCGTTCATTTCTTTTCTCTCTTTTTCCCATTTAAATAAATGTTATTCTTAAGATTACGAAGTTTGTAATCAAGACAATAACTTGTATTACACGTAAATTGACTTCTCAGACTCGTTATATCATCATTATTCACATATGACTCATGTATATTGATATGTCGTTATTGCTTACCTTTGTTACTCCCAGTGGTGCATAGGCCTCCGACCAGCATTCTCCAACCCACTCTGTCCTGTGCCTTCATTTCTTGTTCCATCCACTTCTTGTTCATTTTTCTCATGTCTATCTCCATTTCCGGGCGTAATGTGTTCTTCGGTCTTCCTCTTTTCCTCTGGCCTTGAGGATTCCATGTGTGGGTTTGTCTTGTGACGCAGTTGGGTGCTTTCCTCAATGTGTGTCCTATCCACTTCCAGCGCTTCTTTCTGATTTCTTCCTCCGCTGGGATCTGGTTTGTTCACTCTAACAGTTGGTTGTTGCTAATATTGTCCGGCCAACGGATCTGAAGTATTTTGCGTAGACAACTATTAATAAACACCTGTATTTTTTGGATGATTGCTTTCGTAGTTCTCCAGGTTTTCGCCTCATACAGTAGGACTGTCTTGACATTTGTATTGAAAATCCTGACCTTGGTGTTGGTTGACAGTTGCCTTGAGTTCCAGACGTTTCTCAGTTGTAAATATGCCGCTCTTGCTTTACCGATCCGCGCCTTCACATCTGCATCAGATTCACCACATTCATCAATGATGCTGCCCAAATATGTAAAGGTTTTTACATCTTCCAAATCTTCTCTGGCAATTGTGATTGGATTGATGCATGCTGTGTTGTATCGAAAAATCTTGCTTTTCACGCTGTGTATATTGAGACCTACTGCTGCTCAGGCTGCTTCTACACTGTTCGTCTTCTCCGGCATTTGTTGTTGCATATGGGATAGAAAGGACAGATCATCTGTGAAGTCCAGATCGTCCAACTGCATCCTGGCTGTCCATTGTATCCCGCGTTTCCCTTCAGATGTTGACATCTTCATGATCTAGTCGATCACGAGTAGAAAGAGAAAGGGTAAGAGTAAGCAACCTTGCCTGACACCGATCTTTACCTCGAACGAGTCTGTCAACTATCCTTCATGCACAATTTTGCAGTTTAATCCATCATAAGAATTCCGTATGATATTGACTATCTTCTGAGGCACGCCGTAGTATCGAAGAAGCTTCCGTAGTGTTGTTCTGTCTACACTATCAAATGCTTTTTCGTAGTCAATAAAGTTGATGTAGAGTGATGTCGTTATCCTTTCCACTTAATTAGACTCTCATAGCATCACTCCAAACTATGAATGCACAAACATTTATTCTAGCGTCATATCTTACAGCAATTAT